AAAAAAAAGTCGCTAAGGGGGTCTGAAAACTCGCTAAATATAGCGACAAAGTCGCTAAGTTGGCAACACATGTCAGGCACGAGCCGATAACCCTCGATTCAGCTGCTCACGTGACCGGGGGCAGGCTACTAGAACGCGTGGGCGTGTCTCTATGCGGATCCTACCCTAGAGCTCACCTGTCAGGTTGCAAGACCGAGGCCGTAAAGAACTTTCTTGGTCAAAACCCGACTGGAAAACAAAACAAAACAGCGCCATGGAGTCTCCAGTGAAGGATTCCCCGGTGAGACCGGGTTTCCACAGAATGGAGATCCAGAAAACGACGTGGGACGTCCCGCATAGATACGCGAACCTGCAGGCCATCGGCTCCGGAGCTTACGGGACAGTGTGGTGAGTTTACCCGGGCGATGGCGACAGTGCAGACATAATTTGTATCGCTCCTTTCCCTACTGTGTACAGAAAACTATAAAGTTGCTTTTGTTGTGTTTTTGTTGGTCTTTTGGTGGCCTACGATTAAGTTTAAAACTGCAATAAAAGGCTAAACATATTAAACTATTACTTGACGTGGTTTAGTACCAACAAGGAATTCATCCCCTCTAGGGAAGTATTTATTATAACGTTTTTAAACACAAAATGTAAAAACAACAACAACAAAAATAACAAAAAGACCCAACTCCAACAATCATAAAGGATTTGGAAAACTGGTAAACATGTTAAAGTGTGTGGTAATATAATGATTTTCCATTAGGTAATGTTGCGTTTTAAAAACAGCTTAGTGTGGCTTCATTTCTCTCTGCTTAGTCTGAATATATTTAAATGATCGTCTTGAAATGTTTTTCACTAAGGTTTCTGAATTTCTTGGAAATTCGTTTCGCTCCCTGAATGGGTCTAGCTGGCTTTCTCATCTGTTAACAGAAACACAATTGTCCCCCTGAGGCCACTCAGCAAGTCAGTGCAGGTTCTCTGATATGACAAGAATCTCTCCACTAACACAGAAGAACCCAGCCTGCAGGAATCCAGGATATCCCAGACGTGGCGCTACCTAATGATAAGCTACTGACAGACAGAATCGTATTACTGATATTATCATAAAGATTTTGTTTAGTGTTGCAGAATACGTGAATACTTTTCGAACGCTGCATTTCTGGCTTTACAGATAAATAGGTCACATAATCAAAGGCAACATAACATAATGTAAGCTAATGCAATGCATCGTAACAATGTAATGTTGCATTACGTAACATGACCTGATGTAAGATAACCTACTGTAACATAACATAATGTAATGTAACATAAGGTAACATTATGAAACAAGATAGTTATGTTAGGGTTGGATTTATTCTGGGTTATTTTTTAGGCATTTACGGTGCAGTACAGCGCTGGTAAGTGTTATTTGGACCACATGTGGCCCAAATATCCCAACACACCCGACCGCTGGCATATATAAGGCAGACCTGTAATGGATTTGAGGCAACCACAGTCAGTCAAAACCAGATGTCCTGCATAGGAAACTGCAAATATGGGCAACATATGGACCAAACATTCATCTCTATGTTTGGGAAATTTTCATGGCTCATTCAGAGCACATTTCCAAACAGCAGCAATACTTATCAGTGTTTAGTTAATGAATGGATTGGTCAGCCATGTGAAATATATGTATTGTATTTGTTGTTGTGTCAATGTATGACTCTATTAGTTCAATGACTTTATCAGCTCACTGATTTTTTTTAGATTAGATTAGAATATTCAGCGCCGAAATTAGTACAGATTAATAGCAGTGCTAGATTACAATGGCCACTGTGTTTTCAATCACTGAGTCTGTGGTTGGTCACATTTAGCTCTGCCATCGACCAGAAGACCAAGGAGAAGGTGGCCATCAAGAAGCTCTACCGGCCTTTTCAGTCCCTCATCCACGCCACGCGGGCCTACAGAGAGCTCAGGCTGCTCCGCCAAATACAGCATGAAAATGTAAGAAAAGTCAATGAAAATAAGATGATTTATTAACATGAAGCATTATAATCCCTGTCATACAGTAGGTGCTTATGCTTAATCCTTACTCAGACAGCAAGGTCAGACTCTAGCATGACAGAAACATCTGAATTTGTCATTTTTCTAAGCTGCAAATTTGTAATTTGAATGACATTAGAAGAACTCTAGTATATCAAATTAGTGCTGTCAAAGTGACTCTGTTGGGAAAGATACACATGAGTTAATTATAACCTTTGCTCTTTTTTCTCCTGTCTGGAAAAAAAGGTCAATTTTGAGGATAAGCACACTTTGTTGACCCTTCAACAAAAGCCCCATAATCTCATCAGTGGGCCTTGATGAGCTGAGACTGTTGTATATTGGTGGAACCCTCATCGCTCAGTATTTTCCTTGAAAAACATTTAAATGAGTTTCTGCTTTGCTTCCATTGACATGTGGAAACATGTTTAAAAATGTGAATCACTTGTTGTTGTTTTTAATTCAAGCTTCTTTTTTTTTAACAATTTCTAACCATCACACTTTATTTTTAGATAGTGCAAAGATGTTCAAAGTTGGATCCCTTTGATGTTCAATGACTCATTGTAACAAAGATGTTACTTTTATTTACAGCTTTGAAAACAGGAGTCACAAAGTCACAAAAACCCAGAACCCAGAACTAGTAGATTTTACTACCTGTCCTACTGCTAACACTGAACTGTATGTGATCCCCTGACAAATATAGAGCTCCTGAAGTGTTTCATACACTGTAAGTCTGTTCTTAAGCTATTGGTGTTTTACTAATTTCCTCACTGTGTTTTTCTTTAAAGGTGATCTGCCTTCTTAATGTCTTCACACCTGACCCCACACTGGAGAAATTCCAAACCTTGTAAGTTGAAAGTCAGGAGTAGCATTCTCCCACTAGTTGTTGCAACTTGTTGAGACCCCGCATGCATGTGTGCGCGTGCATGTACGTGTATGTGTACATGGATGTGTGAAAAGTTCAAAAACGCTAGTGTGAGAGCAAGCTGATTCTTGTTTGTTTTGCCTGTCTTTTTAGCAGTTGTCCAACTGTGTCTCCACATGTAAAAAGCTTCAAATGCGCTATTCAGCTCTGTTGATTTGAACAAAAACAGAATGCAGTGACTTACAAACCCTGTGTTTTAAACCCAAAATAATACAAACACAATATATCAGATGCTAAAAGTAAGTAATTTTGATTATTAACCTCCTAAGACCCAAACTCTTTCATGACATGCATCTTTAATTTCTCTTTGCTATTTGGGCTGATTGGGACCTGATGCATGTAAAAAGAAAGAATTACCTGATTTTGACACTAGCAACACATTTCAGCAAAGTATGTATCTATAACGTTAAAAACATACTGACCTGTTGCCATGACACTGTCGTGGCAACAGGTCAGTAACACAACTGTGTTAAAAAAAATCCCAAAGAGTGCAAGTCTGTCAGGAGTAAAGATTGGAAAGGGCTTCACCATCGTGACAAACTGTGTAAGACACAACTTCAACAGTTTAAGAAAATGTCCCTCAGTGTATTTTGCTATCAATTTGTGTGTTTCATCATCTACAGTACATAATATCATTCAGAGAGTGTGGGTACTTCTCAGTATGCAAGGATGGGAGTGGAAAAATAATATTAAATGGCCAGGATCTTCAGGCTCTCAGACAGAAGCAGATTTAAAGCAGGTACAGCTGTGTAGAGGAAATCAGAGCATGGGCCTATTAAGCAACAGACATGAAAATAACTCAGCATTTACAGCCTGACCTCTCTTAGATAAGCTTTCTTTTAGTCGTCTTCAGGAATAGTTCTCCAGGCTTCTTGAAGGGCATTCAAAGCTCTTCTTTGTACATTGGCTGCCTTTCGTTCTGCTCTCTGTCAAAATGATCCCTCACAGTGCTCTAGTCCATCAATTTAAATAACACCATCTCTTAGGTACTGTGTCAGGTCTTTGCTGGTGTTTTTTTCCCTACAACATCGCTTTCAGATACTTTGTCCTTTGTCCTCCACTTGTTCAGTTTCCTCAAAACTTTAAGGACTTACTGCACGTCATGTCAGGATTTCAGCTAAAGGCTCTTTGGGAATGTGAGTGCAGAAATACTATTTTATGCCTGTTAAACTGTGTAAGCCAACTTGGCTCAACTAAAACATTAGAGTATATAATGCACTTTGTGACAGCCTGCTAGTTCCTATAACAATTTAAAACGAGTTCTTTGCTCAGTTGTCTGTTATGTGTAGACACAATACTAATTCATCCTGGTTTGAGATAGGTGACTTTTTTTTAATGCCTGAATGACTCATAGGTCAGTGTTAAGTGACTTAACAAACAAAAAAGCATTCCTCTGCTTTTGTGCTCATTTTCAGTCCAGTCACTTATAAGGACTGGACTGAAAATATGTGAAAAAGCAGCCAATGGCCAAAGTTGATGCAAAAGAGAAGACGCAGCTGAAAGCCGTCAGCGACAGGTGAAGATAATGAATGCAGGACAATGAACAGAGAGCAAACCTCTGCTTAAAAACTTTGCGTATTATTGAACATGTATCAATGTAAATATGCCAGACTTAGCCAGGAGGCTTCCTTTCATCTCAAAAACAATAAATAAAAATTTGAGCAAACCATAAGACAATGTACAACAATGTAGTCTCGACAAAAAATACACAACATAATACAATGAAATGTAAAACAACAAATAAATAAAAACATATAACATACACACATGAGTTAGAGCTGCAGTACTGTTCCAAATCTCACTACATTTAACTGACAGCACCTGTTTACTGACTGCTGTCTGTCTGTCTGATGAACAGACAAGAGAAAACCTGCTAAGAGTGACAGCGTAGCAATACCACAACAGACCCGATGACCACACTTTCATGCTTTTGAGCATTTCACACTTTTTTTTCCCTTCTGGTTGCTGTTCACACACTCGGCTACAGCTCCACAGCTCACAGCTGACACATACACCACAACAACAACATCATTCTGACAGATAGCGCAGCCTTTTATGCCGGCGAGGTGCATCCATCTCCCTGCAGCGGCACTGCGGACTGTGCCCCGCCACAGACAGGGAATAACCAAAACACAGCAAACACTGGGACATGAAGGCTATGACTATACAGCATACACAGGGGGACAAAGACACTCACTCAGAGACAGGACGAAGGTGGGCAAAAGGCACAGATCCTGAGGTCACGAGATAACAGTAACATCCAAGCATGAACTGAAACTAAAAAAAATTATGAGACTAAAACCCATCACAGCAAACAGTGCCAGGAAAATTTAAAAACATTTCACTTTGCAAAGTCACTGCTGTTCATTTCAGTTTCCACATTTCTAAACACATTTGTTTCAGGAAGAGGGGGCGCGACACAGTGGTAAATGTGTCACTCCCCCCACATGCTGGTTTACATTGTCTGTGTGTTAGTCTGTTTGTAAACCGCTGCTGGCCTCTCACTCTTGTTCTTTTCCCTCTAGTTATATGGTAATGCCCTTCGTAGCCCAGGATCTGGGCCACATTATGAAGACCAAGAGATTAAGCAATCGCATCGTCACATACCTGTTCTACCAGCTTCTAAGAGGCTTGAAGGTGAGTGCTTCCTTGATTATTATCAGTGGCTTAATGAAGACTATAACATTTTCTCAGTCGGGAGGCTGTTTAAGTGTGATACATTGAGCTGAAAGTGTTTGCTGGAGCGTCATCTCGCTCTCAGTTAAGCAGCGAGGGATGAAAGCAGTGACAGTGCCAGTGTTGTGTAACCCTTGTGGAAAGGTGAGCTGTGAGGTGCTCCTTTTTGAGGTGCACTTCTTTCCATGCTGACTTCAATTCTTAGTAAAATCATGACGGCAGGTTGAAAATGGCTATTTCCGCATCTGATTTTTTCTCCTTCATCAGAGGCATCAGTCTCATTTGTTACTTTGATAGACGGCCTACCCATATGGAAAATATATATATAAATCTTATAAAGTTTGTATCTGTCTTGTGTGAAACCTGTAGGAAAAGCATACAAGAGTGAAAACAGATATAAGATCCCTTGAAAAAATTATATAAATGAAACTTGTGTGTTTTGGATACTTACTAAAACAATATATGAAAGTAATAAGAAAGTGGCTACTTTCATGAGTAAATCATATAAGCCTTACATGATTCACTATATGAAGTAGGCCACATCTTATTCAAGTCTTTTATAAGTTTTTACTATTTCTTTTCCATATGGGTAATCTTGAAGAATCTGCCTCAACTTATTGTACTGTCTATAACTAGGACCCAGTATATCTGGATCCAAGTCATGCCATAGATGTGAACATATGAGCTTTCAGAGATGAGCGCCTCCCTGTGGTTTGTATGCTGTGACTTTTTTAAAAGCCAATTGTCTAATTAGTGTTTTGCTAGTTGCAAGCAGTGTTGTTCTGTTTTCATGTTAAAAACTCA